ATGAAAAGAGCTGAATGCACCAATTATCTATTCAAAAGTAAAAAATAATAATAAATAAAATGAAAAGAGGATATGACCAACCCAGATGCTAAAAGCGACATCTCACTTTATTCACATTTTACCTGCCTTTTTCTTTTCCTTTTCGTTTTTCAAATCTTCCAACCTAAAACAAAAACAAAAACAAAAACAAAACAAGACGTGACAGGTATAGGTGGTTCATGAAAAGAGCTGAATGCACCAATTATCTATTCAAAAGTAAAAAATAATAATAAATAAAATGAAAAGAGGATATGACCAACCCAGATGCTAAAAGCGACATCTCACACCAGCCTATATGACCAACTTCTCAAACACCCATTTTAGTGAATGTAGACTGTGACCAAACTATGGGAGGGTTACGTGGAGGGAACCATTCATTGCCCACTCACCCCCCAACCAGACAATTTTTTCAAACATCCATTGTTGTATTGTATGAAACAAATTACAAATATCTTTAAAATTATATAAAACAAAACAAATCTACAACGAACCTAAAAATGGTTCTATGTGGATGGGAATAGCCGAATTTCTGATCAGCCAGTGAGATGTAGTGACTCTTACTCAACTGGCTAATCTCGTCAGTTCACTCCAAGCCAAGACAATGATCGGGTGGCCCTAAGCATGGAGGTTTTAGCTAAAATTTAAGTCTTCCCCAAAAATAAGGCCCCTTCAAAAATAAATAAATGAAATTTTGTTTATCTATTAAGCCTCAAATAAAAAAGGGTTCAATCTTAGATTACGTAAGTTTGATTAGTAATTTTACTACTAAAAGTGTGAGTAAAATAATGTTTTAAGTGATACTTTGCTAAAATTTTTTCAATTTTTATTCAGTATTAATTGTTACAGTCTTACTTGTGCAAATAAATATTGGTAATTACATATGGAAGCAAACTTTATTATTATTATTATTTTTTATAAACATATGAAGGACTTCATGTTAGAGCTTGCTTAACTCAGGGCCAGTCTTGATGATGATAATATTGGCCCAGATAAATTATCACTTCAATTCATGAAATATATAAGACCCCCCACCCCTTAAAACAGAGCATGAGCTTACCCCATTATAAAATGCCCCAATATCTCAAATAGTCATTATAGTGCTGTAGAAATTATTTGTCTTACAGAACACTCTATTGCAAAAATTAGGTGAGATTGCTTTTATAAAATCAATGTTTAGTTTGATTTTCAGAAATTTTTTTAAAAAAATTAAAAATTAATTTGGTAAAAAAAAATAATAAATTAATAAATAACACATATCATTTTTATATAATTTTATTTTTTGGGAGGCCAGAAATAATTTTTTTAAAAAAAAAATTGTTTTTGATATTTATTTTTATCAAATTAGTTTTCATTTTTTTCCAAAAAAATTTCTGAAATTTTTTTCTGAGAAAACCAAACAAGCCCAATGACTTCATAATCTATAGGAAAAATAAATAAATAATAATAATAATAATAATAATTCAGTGATATTTTTACAAAATAATTATAAATTTATATTAAAAAAAATATATGAAAGACTTTAAAAACTTACACTTTGTAATTCCCCTCATTTAAAATTGAAAAGATTGTTCCTCATGACAATGTATACAATTTACTACAAAGAAGTCTTTTCACTGTATGCAAGGTACACATTTTTCATAAAGAAATGTTATTTATTAGTATGATTCAAATTATTGAAAAATAATTGAAATTTTGTTTTGATCAAACATGTGAATGAACCACATCCTCCTCTTCGATTGATTAAAATGTGAGATGGTTCGTTTAAAACAACCAACTCCATCTATTTAAATAAAAGAAGAACGAGACATTATTTACGTAGCTTAACATGACAAGTAAATAAATAAATGAGTTAATTATATCAAGACTTCCTTAATAATTAATGTATATTACCTTATCCACCTTCATCTATAAATTTGTATATTTTGATCTCTCTCACCAATAAAAATGATACAAATGTCTCACTTATAGAGAAGTAAAAGTGGCGATTATTGAAATGTATAGATTCATAAAAAGAAAATAGAGAAAAATAACATTTGTTAATTATTGTACATTTCTAAAAACATGTTTGTAGACATGATATCTAATATTGTAAAAGACATAAGTAAAATCCTCTCTAACACCAGTTAGTTTTAGGAGAGACGGTGAAATTGAGTTCGACAATAGCATCATAACCAAGTTATAATGGGTTCGAATCTCGTAACGAGCATCATAGTAAGAAGAAATTGCTGGTACACAATACTGCTCTCTACAATTATTCTAAAATCAAGCCCGTGAGGTGCGATATCAAATACAGTAAAAAAACAAACAACAATGATTCATCCCACTAAAAATATCACCATTAATAGCACTAATGCATTAAAAAAGTAAAAAAAAAAAAAATACAACTCCAAGACCAAAATATCACATCATTAATGGCGAGACCCACTGCCACCTAATTAGTGGGAGCACTAATTAGTGCTCCCAAGCATTTTTCAAAAACAAAATGGAACTTCGATAATTGTATAGAATGCTACATGGAATTTTCACAATGTCTCTATCCCACCTTTATGTTAGTTGATTTTGTGGTGGCAAGTGATTCCCATCAAAGTAAACAGTAGACAGCATTTTGTTTTTGTAATAATGCCACAAATTCAGAAAATTTATTTATCTATACTATTATATATGTGAGTACAAGACTTGATGTCTAATGATTTATTAAAAAATATTTATAAACAATAATGCGTGGCTAAAATTTATTTTAAGTATAAATCTTACTATATAATAATTAAATGTAAATCATACATTATTAGATAAAATTCTTGACAAATTTTCATGATTAATTTCTTTTGTGTTATTTTTGAGGTCTAATCTTTGCAACATATTGGTGGATTTTTGTGAACCAGAATTTGTGGGCCAATTGGGAAAAGATATTAAATTTTCTAAAGGAAAATTGATTGCAGAATGGGAAAACAAAAATCGTGATATGAAAGGGCCCCAATTTCAACAGGTGCATCCTGGGCAATACCACTATCCATCTTTCATAGGTCTTGTCCTATTCCAAAGTTGGAAAAAAGTTGTTACTAATCTAATCTTGGAATCCTAGTTGGATCTTGGATTGACAAATAAAAATAAATAAATAAATAAATTATATAGTTAATCCTTTTTATTTAAGCAAAATTTTACTTCCCATAATGTTGATTTCATTCATCGAAATCCTACTCTTTCAATTTCTTCTTAAAAATAACATAAATTTTATTTTTTCATCTACATCATGTTGTTCATAATTTTTTAATTTGGACGGTTTCGGCACAAACATTTGTATTCTCAGACTTATTCATATTTTTAAGTTTAACTGATTATTTTTTTGGAGTTGATTTTTAACATCTTTTCATGATCGGGTAATAATGGTGTAACATTACTAATTTCCATTTTTGATCTCAATTCATGGTAATCTACATCACAATTATGACATCTAATGTGTATATTAACTACTATAATTGTGATTTTACAGAAGTTAAATTAGAATTAAACAGAATGTTATATTCTTTTGTTTGATTCATTTGCATTTGGAAAATTTTAATTGCTATTTCATCTTTACTCTCTGCCAAGGAGATTTCTTTCTTTGAATACGATTCCACACTATATGTTGATTCATTTTCAAATTCTTGTATTGACTTCAGATTTTGATTTCATACTTTTCTAATATTTCCAATCCTCCCATACTTTTATAATCCTAGGTTATGTTTAATTAAAATAATTAATAGTAAATAATTCATGAAATTAATATAAGATTGGTTATCCAACTGGATAAGGGGGGAGAGGGATACATAATCCCCTCTTATCCACTTTTGTTTTGCAATGGATATTAAAACATATAATCTCAATTACATATTTATTTTTGCGTCATTATTTGTAAGATTAATATTTTATCAATTTTGTTTGATCAAATGTCCATCAAAATCTAACCTAGATAATAAAAATTACAATAAAACACTAGAATGTGAGTCTCATGAATTAATAATAATCATAGACCCTTAGAATTCTAAATTTCTGTTCCTTTACATTTTTAAGATATTTATTTGCCTAATGCCCTATTTCATCGCTTAACCAATATTTATAATTAATTTTTATTATTATTTCTTTTTGAAGTCTAAGGGGTTTTTTTTTATTATTCCTTTTTGGAATTCTCTCTACATTTCTATTGTGTAAACACATCTAAAAGACTATAATAGAGTTCAAAATTTTGTAATAAAAATTGAGAGTTCTAATTTTAAAACTCTAAAGAGAGTTCTAATGATATGACAGAGAGTGTGACTCACATGTGATGTATTGTGTTTACCTATATTTTTGCTTTTTTTTTTTCTCTCTTACCACATCATTAGATTTCTCTTTAGAGTTTCAAAATTTTAACTCTCTCTCATTGTGCCAAAGAACTAAAACATAAATTCAAAAAACAACTAGCAAATGATAACTAATTCAAAGCAACATGGGTTGATGGGTTGAGGAGGTCTTAAAGAGCGCCCCCCCATGTTCCACTTGGATGATGTTGCAAATAAAAAATCAAAGAAGATTTTTATTTAAAGATATCAAGAAGATTTTGAGCAAAGATCATCAAAAAATTGAAATCAATTGAGGTTGGACCCCTCACAAATTCTTGGCTTTTGACTTCTTTGTCTTTTCCTTTTTTATTCAAAATCATGATTATCAATGTCGTACTCACCAAGAGACATGAGAACTAGTAATGATACATTTTGGTACTAACCAAGAGATATAAGAACTAGTAATGATACATTTTGGTGAACTATTTTGAATTTATTATTATAAAAGCAAATTAACATTATCAAGTGTATCAATTACTGAATAAAATTCATTTTCTACCCATCTGTTTAACGTATTGAATTTTTTTTCGCGAGGGTGAAAGAGTAGGTTGAGGGCGTGGTGGTTGGGAGAGAGAGTGATAACCAATGTGTGTTGAGAGAGAGAGAGAGAACAAATGTGGAGACATTTCTTGAAGTAGAGTTAAAAATACATGTAATAATACATGGATGAGAATGGAATTATTACAATTTCTTCTCTATATTAATCCACACAATTCAATCACACACAACGACTAAACATTTACAAGGTTTCAACAGTGGTATTCACCATGGGGATTTTTCGCACTTCCACTGTAAATAGCAAATTCTTCCTGCCCAGAAAAAAATGCAATATCCATCACATTAAAACCCAGAAAAAAATAAATAAATAAACAAATCTCATCATAGGAAGGTGATAAGCGCTCACAACATTATCAATGGGCTTTTAAGATTCAAGTACTTAAAGACAAGCGAAGAGAAAAGCGAATGAAATTGAAACAAAAAATTCACTTTCTTCCCCCACCCCATCAAATCTCTATACAAAACCAAGATCCAAACACAGCATTAAACAATCACTCGACATTGAAAAATCATGTGTTCAAAATAAAAATTACAAAAATTGAATTTGATTGCACAAAGGCTTCTGGCAATCCTGGATGGAGACCATGATATTTAAAGACCCTCCGTGATATAATACAGCCACATAGTAAGAGATGTGATAAGTATCGACTATATTGTTGTCTTATGAACAGGCACACAAGACATTTTATCACAACCCTAGGATGTAATTGATGGACCCATCATGTGAGGATGGACTCCGTAGAGGCAGCCCTAACCCAAATTGCTGAAAATCATCAATTACATGATTCCGTACCAGACATATAAGTTCCTAGAGTTGCAAGATTACAGCAATGTATGGTCATTTCAGGCTAGTGCACCTATAGATTAACTTTGTATCTATATTAGTTTAAGTCCTATTAACAAGTTCCATAGTTGAAATTCAAATTTGAATATTCAAGCAAAGCAGAATTCTAGAAACTTGCTGAAAAGGTAAATAATTTAGGCTAGCCTAGTTGGGGGGTTTGTGTTTTGTTGGGTTCTTAACATAAAATAATTTAAATTTGAACTTTAGGTTAAATTAACTAATCAGCTTGACTTTAGTTCTCCAGACTTAGTTCGAGACTAATGAAAAGTACACAGCTCGTTCGAACACAAGGTTTCATTGTTCAAGCACATACTGGTTGGAATGTACTTGTTTGTATGAGAGTGGAATGTTGTGTTGAACGTCGAAAATTTCCTGAGAGCAGTTCATTCAAACACACACATTGACCATTCAAGCACACATTACACTAGGTATTATAATGTTCTAATCCAAAGAGCTTTCCATTCCACCGAAAAACATCTCTTCATTAGAATGTGTGCTTCCAATGAGTCCGGGATTTGATTCTGGTTTCCTCTTGTCCTTAGAATTTTTATTCCTATAACAAATAACAAAGATTGAAAACTAAGAAATACGGATCGTGAGATGGAGATTATGGCCTTGTTTGGTTTGTATTTGAGAAACATGTTTTGAGATAAAAAGTACGAAAATTTGTTTGGTTTGATTTTTTTTCAAAAGATGTTTTAAAAAACTATTTTGAGAGAGAGTTTTGGAAAAAGTGATTGATTTGATATGTATAAGAGAGAGATTTGTTTGGAAAATTTGTAAACCAAACAAGTTTTGAAAAAAAAAATTTGGGAAAATTTATTTGGTTTGATTACTTTTGAAAACTTATTTGTAGAGAATTTTTTCCAAATTTTTTTGAGAAATACAAACCAAACAAGGCCTATATGATCCATGAAATCAAAATAGGTTGGGTCAAGTGGAAGAGTGCGTCCAACATATTATGTGATTGACGAATATCAACAAAATTAAAAGAAAAGTTTATAGAACAATTATTAGGCAAGTGATGCTTTATGGGACAAAATGTTAGGCAATTAAGGAACAACACGTTCATAAAACGAGTGTAGCTGAGATTAGATTAGAAATGAATATATTCATAAAATTGAGTAGCCTCTGTAGGTTTAGAGAAGAGAAAGAGTTAGGGAATGAGTTAGACTCAATTCCCTTTTATATTGATAATTCTAAGGAATTACAGGCATAATTCTGAGTAACCAAAAAGGAATAAATAAGATAATAAGAATACAATTATTATTGCCTATTCTAACAAATTCTTATTCTACACTCCCCCTCAAACTGGTGCGAAAATATCTCTCATACCCAGTTTGTTGAGAATGCCATAAAAGGATTTGATCCCTAGTCCCTTGGTGAGAACATCAGCTAGTTGATCCTCAGTCTTCACAAATGGAATACATATGGTGCCACTAGTGAGTTTTTCCTTGATGAAGTGTCTATCAATCTCCACATACTTAGTTCTATCATGCTGAACTGGATTATGAGCTATGTTGATTGCGGCCTTATTGTCACAGTATAGTCGCATAGAGTCAGTCTGATGAATTCCCAAGTCTCCCAACAATAATTTATCCATAGTAACTCACATACCCACTGAGCCATAGCCCTGAATTCTATCTCAGCACTAGATCGAGCAACCACATTATGTTTCTTACTTCACCGTGTGACTAGGTTGCCACCAACAAATGTGCAGTATCCAGAAGTTGATCGTCTATCAGTGACTGATCCTATCCAATATGCATCAGTAAATGCTTCCACACTGAGATGGCCATGTTTACACTGAGATGGCCATGTTTTGAGAAGTAGAGACCCTTTACAAGAGAAAACTTCAGGTATCGCAGGATTCTCATAACTGCCTGTGAAGTTTTAGGAGCATGCATAAACGGGCTTACCACGCTAACAACAATGGCAATGTCTGGACGTGAGTGGGATAAGTATATGAGCTTGCCCACTAGTCTTTGGTATCTCCCCTTGTCCACTGGCTCTCCCTTTTGATCCTCACTAAGCTTCTAGTCTGGTTCTAGAGGTGTATCACATGGTCTACCTCCAAGCAGTCCAATTTCCTTTAGCAAGTCAAGCACATACTCTCTCTAACATATAAAGATGCCATCCTTGCTCCAAACTACTTCAATACCCAAGAAATACTTCAAACTCCCCAAGTCTTTGATTTCAAACTCCTTGACTAAGTATTCCTTCAATCGAAAGGTCTCCTCAACGTCATCCCCTAACAATATCATCAACATAAGCAATGAGAGCTGTGGTCTAACCATGTGAGGAGCGTTTCACAAACAATGTGTGATCAGCTTGACTTTGCTTGAACCCATGTTTCAACATAGCTTGAGCAAACCTTTCAAACCAAGCCCTAGGGGACTGCTTTAGTCCGTGAAGCGACTTTCGGAGCCAGCATACTTTACCTTTAGACTTAGCATCCACAAAGCCATGAGGAATATCCATATAGACCTCTTCTGCGAGGTTTCCATGAAGGAAAGCATTCTTCACATCAAACTGATGAAGTGTCCAATCCAAATTGCAGCAAGAGAGAGTACGGCTCCGTTTGGTAAGCCTCTCAAAAATATTTTTAAATATTTTAATTTTTTTGTTATGTATTTGGTTACAATTTAAGTGTAGAGTTGTGAAAGTAGTATGTAATTTCGAGTTATGTGCTTGGTTATGAGTTTTAAAAATAATTTCTTAATTGAGTTTTGTTTTATGTGTTTACTTACGATTTGAGTGTAGAGTTGTTTTTAAATTTAAAATATTAAAATTTAAAATCATTTAAATTTTTTGAATATTTAAATTATTTAAATTTTTACAATTTATTTTTTTTGAATATTTATTTCAATTTTTTACTTATTAAATTTTTTAGATTATTTAAATTATTTAAATATTTATGATTTAAATTTTTTGAATATTTATTTTGAAAAAAAATTATTTCCTTTGTAGCATTTTCAATTAAAAAATTGATTAATGTTATTTTCTGTTAATAATAAATTTTTTTAATTGAATTTTAAAAAGAGTTTGGTTATGAGTGTTGATCAGAATTTTCAATAGTGTGAAAGTAGTGTGTTTTGTTATGAGTTATAACAATTTGAATTAAGTTTTGAAAACTCTTTTCAAAACTGATAACCAAACAAATTTTCTTACTTCACATGTCAAATCAAACTTTCAAAACTCAATTTTACACTCAATTTCAAAACTCAATTCAACACTATTAAAAAATCATAACCAAACAAATTTTCTATACTAAAATCATAATTTCAAAATACACAAACTCAAAATACAACTCATATTCTCAAATCATAGTTAGAAAGTCTTACCAAACGGAGCCTAAGATTCTCACAGAGTTCATTTTAGCAACCGGTGCAATTGTCTCCTGGTAATCTACCCTATAAGTCTGAGTGAAGTCCTTAACAACCAATCTTGCTTTGTACCGTTCTATGAAACCATCAGCTTTGTGTTTTACCGTGTACACCCACTTACACCCAACTGGATGTTTTCCTCTTAAGTAACTCCACTAACTCCCTAGTGCTATTCTTGCTGAGAGCTCTCATCTCTTCCATCATGGCATGTTTCCATTCAGGAATAGAGAGAGCATCCTGAAAAGTGGTAAGTAGACTCACAGAAGACACTTTAAACAGAAAGACTTTATATGAGGAAGACAGATTAGAATAAGAGACATGATTAGTAATAGGATGCTAAGTACATAACCTAACTCCCTTCCTATTAGCAATGGGAACATCAAGATCTGAAACATCAGGAATAGGAGTACTAGAATTAGAATTACCTGAACTCCTAGGAGATGAGGTTGACTCTGGACACTCATCTAGAGAAGAAGTTGGCAGTAATGGAAGGAGAGTAGGCTCTTGCATCCAAGTGACTTACTATCTGTCCTTGTCACTTATATAAACTTTGCCTGCTTCCTTGTCTTCAACAACTGCTGGCTCATTATCCTCTATCTATTCAACCCTTAGCGGAAGAGAAATAGACAGCATAGGAATCTCTTCACACCAAGACTCCCCCTGAAGAGATGACTGGGATACCAGGGAAGTCGGAAAATAAGGCTAAGACTCAAAGAACGTGACATCCATGGAAACAAACCATTTGCGAGTGAGAGGGTGATAACACTTATAACCCTTTTGAGTGGCAAAATTAAGTGACCTATGATCTAATTTACCACGAGTGGGAGAATGATTATGGACAAAGCAAACACAGCCAAAGGTCTTACGAGAAATGGAGAACCCGAAAGAGGGAGACCCGAACAAAACTTGAAGAGGTTTGTTTTAGAAGGACTTGGGTAGGAAGACGATTAATCAAATAAGCAGCAATGAGAACCGCTTCTCCCCAATAGGATCGAGGAACCTGCATCTCAAAGGATAGACAACGGGCGACATCAAAGAGATAGCGATTTTTGCGTTCGGTAACACCATTTTGTTGAGGGGTATTAGTGCATGAAGTTTGGTGAATAATGCCATGTGTGGCGAAGTAAGTGGCAAGACCAGAGTCAATGTATAATTTTGACAACCGCCCCAAATTGAGTACAAACTATTTTATGGAAGTCTTGAAACACAGAAAAAACCTCAGTTTTATCTTTCATCAAATAGTCCCAAATGGCCCTACCACAGCCAAATGTTGTCCTTGGTGGATGGTGACTGGATAGATGAATGAGTCAGCTTGTTTGTCTGATCCAGAATGTAGAGACTATGTTCCTCTCTACCGCTGCCAATCCTCTTCCTCATGATAAGGTCGTGAAAACAACAATGATTAGGAAAAAACGTCACACTACAATTTAAATCACGAGTAATACGGCTCAAAGATAAAAGATTAATACTAAAATTGGGAACATGGAGTACAGAAGACAAAGGAATGGAAGAGTGCGGCATTAATTAAACCTTTCCTGACATAGACGCCATAGTACCATCCGCAATACGCACTTTTTCCTGACTTGAGGAGGGGTTATACTCGGAGAATAAATTAGAGGAGCCAAACATATAATCGGAAGCACTAGAATCAATAATCCATGATACAGGTGTATGAGATAGTAATACACATGGGGAAGCAACCAAGTTACCTGAATTGACAAAGGAAGAAGAACGTGCACCTGTAGCAAAAGTAAAGGCTCGACAGTCTAGCAAATGGCGAAGAGTAATCTCAAAATCTGGGATAAATAACCCCGAGACATCAGCAACAAGAGAAACAACTGGAGATGAAAATGGTGGCTCAACAGTATCTGAAAGATGTGCCCGAGCATTGGCGCCGCGGCCTCTAGACTGACCAGACCTATCCTCTCGAGTACCAGGACGGTCTTCTCGGCCACCAGAGGGGGTCCCATGTAGCTTCCAACAAGTCTCTCGTGTGTGTCGTGGTCTACGGCAATAGTCACAGAAAAGATTATCCTTCTCAGAGGAAGGATGAGAACCACGAGTATCGCGAGAGGGTGCAGAAACCAAGGCTGAGTGATCAGTAGTAGCAGCAGGAAGCATCGTAGAGGGGCAACTTTCCTCATTCTACACCAAAGCAAAGGCTTCTTGAAGAGAAGGAAGCACATCCATGCCAAGTACTCTGCTGCAAATAGGATCATACCCCACATTTAGGCCTTCCAAGAACTTGAAGACCCGCTCTTGTGCCTCAAACTTCCGATAACCAACAGAATCAATGGGACAAACAAGTTTGTAATCCTAAAGGTGATCAAGTCGCTTCCACCCACTGTTAAGAAAGGTAAAATACTGAAGAATAGTTATCTCATCTTGTACCAACCTTTCAATGGAGCGACGTAACTCGAAAGCTTGGGAGAAAATGTATCAACCAACCTATGATTAGGGAGTTGGTGATCTCCCACTGGTCATAACTCGAATCTATGGTATTGGGTGCCTGTATTCTTCCATCAACATAACCCATCTTCCTTCTACTCTTCAAAAAAAATAGTCAGACTTTGCGACCAGGCGAGATAATTTTGACCATTGAATAGATAGGTGGTGATCTTAAGGCTAAGGTTGAGGTTATCAATCATAGTAGAAGGTATAATGGAACTCTCGCTCTTAAGTGGTTGAGAAGTAGTGGATTCACTAAGGGAATCTGCCATGGATACTCTACTTTTTAACTCTCAAACACAATGCCAATCACAAACCCGGAAGATAACAATGGAAGAAAAGACCCAACTACCACGATGCAAGCATAAAGGATTAAGAACTCATACAAGATACTCTCTTTTTCTTTCTTTTTTTGGTTACTGCATTTTTATTTTACTTTTTTGTTTTTTTTTTATTTTTTTATTTTTTTATTTTTTATTTTTTTATATATAATTTTTATTTTTATGTATTAAGAAAGAAATAGGGAAGACGACAAGGTCAGGCCATGTATTAGACCCCAGTCAACATACCAGTGAACCAAGACGACCAGACAAGTGCGACTGAGGCAAGGGTTGATCAGACGAGTGCGACGGAAGCAGGAAGGGACCAAACGAGTGCGACTGAACCAGGAGTAGACCAGACAAGTGCAACGAAGCCTCAGACGAGGTCTATGAGGACTCCAGGAGTGCCGACAAACCTATATGGATGAGCTAGGGCTGCCGACAGGCCTAGAGGAGGGCAGAGGCTGCTTCGGTTGCCCTGGAGAGAGCCAACAGTCCTTCGGCTTAGTTGGGTGAAGGCCGAATGGCCAAGGGCTGCCTTCGGGTGGCATGGGCAGTGCTACGTTGTTGTTTGAATGGTGTTAGGTTCCTCCTATTGAGGCTCTGATACCATGTAGGTTTAGAGAAGAGAAAGAGTTAGGGAATGAGTTAGACTCAATTCTCTTTTATATTGATAATTCTGAGGAACAGGCATAATTCTGAGTAACCAAAAAGGAATAAATAAGATAATAAGAATATAATTATTATTTCCTATTCTAATATTTCCTATTCTAACAAATTCCTATTCTAACAGCATCAACTAAAAATAAGTTGGGATAGAACATGTTAAGATAGTTTACAAAGGCTCATAGATGCAATGACAAACAAGAGTAATATAATCAACATAAATGAAAATGTCCTAAAATGACATGTGATGCAGCAGTAAAAAATATATATGAATTTATTTAATTTAACTTTGCGAAAAGTCCTTAATAGAGCGGAATAAAGAAAAAAGATTCATTCATGTAGGCCATAGTTGTCAAATCGAGATTCGTATCCTGAATCGAAATGACCTTATACCGAATCGCGAATCGAATCGTGAATCGTAAAAATTCGGTCACTTTTTTAAAATTACATAAAAATATATATTTACACATTTAGATGTTAAATATATCTTATGAATATGAAATATTTAGACTTAAATCAATGAAAATGTTATTTTGAGTGATAATCACGTCGTTTAATAGGTAAGAAGTTAACAAAGATTCCTATGTAAGATCACTATCTTACTTTTTTTCTTTTTAGATATTTCTTATCAACCATTCTTAATAAAGATGATAACCAAATAGACAAATTATCAATTTTCAAAATAACAATAATTAACAACGATATTGATATTTGGACAATAAGCATACGTACTTTTCTAAGTAACAATGAGCAAATAATAAGAAAGAATTATTTAGAATATTTTATTTTAAAGCCTAAAACATTTTCAAAGGTATAACTGATCTCACATATGTAATATTCAATTACATTCAATTTAATAAAATAGCAATAGATAATTCATAATGTAACTTTAATCTTAAACATCTTTAGAAGATATATTATGATTTTTTAAAAGAAAAAAAAATGAGAAGAAAGGTTAAAAATATGTTGGGTCTGACTGAATCTGATTGGATTCTATTAAAAACTTCATTATCACTAAAATAACAACAAATTATGTTGGTTATTTTGGTATTAAACGCTATTAAAAGTTGTATTATGTCATTTTCACTAAAAATATGGAGAAAAAAATAGTCAAAAATATGCCGGACATAATAATTTAAAAAATTACATGAATCATACAAAGTGAATTGAATCGTGAATCGATCGTGAATCGTGCGATTCACTAGAGATTTACTTCCAAAATAGATTCACCCATAGATTCGTATCGATTTCTCAAAAAATTTGAATCAAATCGCAAATCGAATCGCGAATCATAAGATTCTGATAAAAGGGAGATTCACCCATAGATGCGTATCGATTTTGCAAAAATTGTGAATTGAATCGTGAATCGAATCACGAATCGTGAATTGTAAGATTCTGATAACAGAGATGTAGGCTAGTGACAGAGCCACATTGTGGCCTAGAGGGGCCATGGTCCCTCCACACCCTTTCAGAAACTTGTATGTGTATGGTGTATATGACCAAAGAGTTTAAGTTTGTTTAAATTGATTAACACCCCTCCAATAACTTTTTTAAACTTTGCCAATCAAACTACTTGCATGTTTTATCCCTACAACTATATCCACATCTTATCCAAATAAAAAAGACTTGCAACAATTTTAAATTTTATCGTTGTAATTTATAGATGGTCATTTTTCCTCCGTGTAACATAATCACATGAATATTTTATAAATGCTCCAAGCAAAATCAAAATAAAACATCCAAACATATGCAACTTTTGGTCATATTTGAGTCAGGGTAATGTCAACATTAATCTTGCCAAGTTTGGGAAGACTAAAAAAGTGCACTTTTTGTCTTTTTGGACTAAAAAATTGAGATTGAAAATATGGATGTTTGGGTTAACTTTTTGACTTTTTATTGAAAAATGTGTAATAAAAAATTGTAAAAATTGATTTGTAGGGAAAAATTTGAATTGAGAGTTGTGCAGCCGTAATTGTTGACTTTTGATGAATATGACTTTTGGTGAATAGTGTTAACTTTTTAACTTTTTGAGTAACTTTTTGGCTTTTTGGCTTTTTTTAAAGTCCCCAAACTTGGCCTTACTCATGTATTTTTTGTGTTGTGTCATTTTGAGTTCATGTGGTGTAAACTTGTCATGTCCAAAAAATAACCACCCTGAATTGAAAATATAGAAACATTACCTACAAGCTAAATTTTATGAAACTACTCTTTACTAGATGAAAGTATTCATAAAAATATTTAATTTCAACTCAATTCTATTTCTCGAATTTCAAAAAACTAAACCCTATTATTTATTTATTTTTATTTACAAGACTGACTTTAAAATAGTAAATGAAAAGATCATATTATCTCAAATAGAAAACAAAAAGATTATATTAAACCAAAATCTTATTTTATATATTTTTTCTTCAACTGGTCAGGGTAATGTCAACATTAATCTTACTCATGTATTTTTTGTGTCGTGTCATTTTGAGTTCATGTGGTGTAAACTTGTCATGTCCAAAAAATAACCACCCTGAATTGAAAATATAGAAACATTACCAACAAGCTAAATTTTATTAAACTACTCTTTACTAGATGAAAGTATTCATAAAAATATTTAATTTCAACTCAATTCTATTTCTCGAATTTCAAAAAACTAAACCCTATTATTTATTTATTTTTATTTACAAGACTGACTTTAAAATAGTAAATGAAAAGATCATATTATCTCAAATAGAAAACAAAAAGATTATATTAAACCAAAATCTTATTTTATATATTTTTTCTTCAACTGGATGGGAGTACATAAGATATTTAAACGTGTCAGGTCACCCCATTATGAAAATAACATTAAGATGTGTAATTAATCCTCTCATTAAATGAATTATTCATGTTAACTTCATGATATGCAAGTTCCACATTAAACATTTCGGACACGTTTATTTTTTGTATCATGTGAAGATATAATTCACATTATTTGTCTAAGTTTCAGTGCACGATACCAACCACCCCCCCACCAAAAAACAAAAAATCCTAACATTGTCCCCACTTCAGTGGAACACAAGACTTAGTTTCGTTTAGTTTGGTCTGGTTTGGTATATATAAATGCCTTGTCTTCTATATCATTGGAACAGAAACTTCGAGAGAGATTTAGGCCTTGTTTGTCATCCCCTAAAAAAGCCAAAAAGTCACTATCCTATTGAAGTCACATCATCTTATTTAAGTCACATCATCTTATTTAAGTCATATCACCTCTCTACCACATCACTTCAAATCCAACCCATACTCAACTCATATTTCACAAAAAGTCAAAAAGTGCACTTATTTAGATCATTCCAAACCACCCCTTAATACAGTCCATATATGATATACCTTCTTGAAACCTTACATGATTCTTGAAGTCTTGTTGAGTTATTGATGATTACATTTAAGTATATTGTGAGTGAGGGTGATGATTCCTTCCTTGGGTTAACTTTGGATTCATATAGATTTAGGGCATGTGCATGATCATTACTTGGTGCCTAAAGATCTTGTTCGTGTTGGATTGACGTTGCTAGTGAAGATTAAATGTATTGTGAGTGAGAGTGATGATTGCTTCCTTGGGTTAACTTCGGATTCATATAGATTTAGGGCATGTGCATGATCATTACTTGGTGCCTGAAGATCTTGTTCGTGTTGGATTGACATTGCTACTGAAGATTGGAAAGTACATGGGAAGATCGGCATGTACGAGTTTTAGGATGGGCAACAAAACTGCTCTTGGTGTTTTGGGTAGGGTCTGTGGCTGGATCTTGTGGAATTGAATTTGATCTTATTTATTAGTGTTTTTGTAGCATCCTTGTTTTCCACGTATATTACAGTCTCTCTTTGTGATTGGTTGCATATTTATATTCCGTCTACTACCTTGACTCAATCTCAATTAAATTTGCTTGATTAAAGACTTGTTTTCAGTTTTTAAACTAGAAAATCAATTTGGGATTACTTGCGCATTCTAAATAAATTTATTTTCCAAAATCAGCCTTGGCAAACAGGTTAAAGAAGTAAAAGATAGCAAAGTCGTATAATTACAATTAAATTCCAGATTTCATCAATAAGCAGCCCAATAACAATCTAGAGTATGGGCCATTTTATAACCTCATTGTCACGGTGGTCTAATCAGGGAACTTGTGTGCTCATCATTACGGCAGTTATATCATGGGTCTTACAATAATGCAGTGGTTGCACAGTGCAACGCTTGAACCTAGGACCAGAGGTCGGACATAGATATTTTGAAACACACAACAAGCACTTCAAGAGAACACTAGGCTCAGAGGCTAGAGATGGAGGCCTGACCATAGGTCAAGCAGCCTTACGCCAATCCAACTAAGAAAAAGAGACCTTGCCACTAAGCTTTGCTTCCTGCCAAGGGACAAACCTAACGGCCTAACTGAATCCTTCTCAAATATTCAGTTAAACTACATGCTCATCTTCTATATATAGAGGGTTCCAACCCCTTACATCACAAACACATTACATACTCTAGTGTGAGGTCTTGAGATCTAGATCTCCCTTGCATCTCTCTCCCTTGGTTGGACTATTATGTTTCTCTCCCAGTCATCCCCTCTGTGTGTCTCAATGTGTTTTGATTCTCAAATGTACCTAAGACTATCTGGTCAACCCTTACACAAGTAAACAAGAGGAGATGAGCTTAATCATACTACTACTATCTTTATAGTCATGTACAGCACACTGTTTAGCATCTTATCTTACACTACCCATGCTTGACTGCCAACTTGAAATGCTCAACTGCAACCTCCTCCCCTCCTCCCACCACCACACAAAAAACAAAAAAAAAACAAGATATTTGCACATGATATTGCTTCTTTCAGATTCAGGATGATTTACCCGTAAAGCCATGCACTTTATGTAGACAGGCATAGATAACAGTAACTTCTTGAATGAAGAAAGAAATTAAGAGATTATGCACCAAATCAGAAAAGAACAGGCACCCAAACTTGCAGGCACATGTTCCGCAACAACACTTCTTTATTTGTTCATTTATTTATTTTTCTAGAATATATATACTCATTAGGAGTGTACTTCGGGATATAGTGTAAAATTTGTATATCATATGATTCTACCGGTGAAAATGATATTTGTTGATATGTATCAATAAAAGTTGCTTTAATTTTAAAATCAGACAACTATGGCATGATGGATAATCAAAAATAATGATAATGAAAAAAGGAAAACGAGGAAAAAGATAGGTAGAGGAAGATTACAGACAAATATTAGGCACAGCATGATGCAGATCGGGATCCTTCTGTTGGTCTGTCCACAAGAACCATCCCCGCAGGATTCTGAGCAGGCTGAGCTCTAGGCAACCTCTTAGCTATTTACAAAAAAAGCCATGTAGAAGGTCATTAGCAGTCAAATTTTGACAACAAAAATTAGAATGTCAAGAACTAAGAGAAACCATATCAACAACAATGCTAAAGGCAATATAAGAATCATAGACTGGAAACTAATCTATCATATACTAATAACAGGGTTAAAATATAATAGGCAATTTTTTATCCATCTGTCAAAGGCAACAAAAATTTGAACCAATTTTTAGGCATCTGGATGTATAGATGGTATAGATCCTTTTGTCTACAGCAACTCTTCTTAAATAATTGTATACTGACCAAAAAACAATTAGGTAAAGCAAGGTTAGATGCTATCCTTAAAAACAAAATGATTCAAGATCAGCTCTTAATCGGCTCCATTAAAACTCATTTGAGATTGGCTCAAAAGGTAAATAAGCTGAGTTTGAATGCATTTTGAAGCTCATCAACTTTTCAAGCCATGCTTGAACGACCTACAAGTTGTGGCTCCACTGGCTTATGGTCCTAAGTACAAGCAAAGCACTTAAACGAAATACAAATTTTCCTTTTACATAAAAAGTCATTTCAAATAAAGAAAAGATGTTACCCTTACCAAGAGAAAGAGAAGAGGGGGTGCAAATCCTAAATGGGGAACTGACGAAGATTTGATTCAATCCTTGAAGCATCATTAATGATGAATTTTTGCCTCTACTTCAGTGCTCTAGCTTCTTTACAAAAGACAACAATAGATGAAAAGGTACTTTCTCCAACAGGAAAATCCAATTCCAGCTGAAGCATAGTGTTGTCGGAAACTAAATACTGTTCAGTGACATGAAGGAGGAGCCTTCCTGATTAATTCAAGCCATGTACACTAATTGTGTACACTAAAAACCGGATATATCCGCAAGCTGATTCTTCTGCTGTCTTGTGCTTTAACAAGGGACATGCATGGGATCTCTCCCTTACGATGAAAGGAGAAGCCCATTTTGGGATCATTATGACAACAAAAACAGAGCAAGATTGTACAAATAAGGACAACCTAACTTGAAACTAGAAAAATCAAACCACCTCATGTAGGATCAAATATTTATAATACCAAGGGAAGAATTGAAAAACACAGGAGAACCATGCAACTCATAATCAAATTCCGAAAGTTCTATGGGCCATAACCAAACAAATTCTACTCTCCCCATTTAACAGCAAAGAGACTTAGAAACATACCTATTTCATAGAATATATCATTGACATTAGCAGCGGTTTTGGCAGAGGTCTCCTTGAAAAAAAGACCATTCTCCTCGGCATACAATTGTGCCTCCTGCAAAGATATTTATTAGAAACAGATTATATTAGCAGCTCTAGCAAATAACACGTCTTTAAGAGAAGATAAAATGAATCTGTGACCGCTAATGTATACAGATGCTATTAGTGGAAAGTAAAAGCTAGTCTCACAATATGGAAGCATAACAAGTGAACACACAAGAACAGTTTGAGTAACAAAAGTACTAAAAACAAAGATAATTAAAAGGGAAATTGAGATTTTTTTTAATTCTCTATTCTTGAATTTTGGTTTGGTCTGGACTACTAAATATCATCTCATGGCTCCCTTACTATATATTGGGCACCCAATATGACATTGTATTCAAGGCTCTCCAAATAAAACTCCGAACCATAGTTAAGAACATATTGAATTAATTAACAAACTTGGGTGACCGACTACTAAAAATCTTTTACAACGTAAAGATGGTGAGGCTATATAGTTTGGAGGTAATTAACAACTAATACTAGTATAGTAAAAAAGATTTTTTGAAATCATAGGAGTGGCAATTGTCCCTACTTACCACCCCCTAAGTCCATCCTTGTCTTGAACTATGCATCCACTTACTTGTGTGTGTGTGTGTGTGTGTGTGTGTGTGAGAGAGAGAGAGAGAGAGAGGGAGGGAGGTAGAACATACTTCTGCCGTCACTTTCCTCTTATCTTCCAAATCAGCTTTATTCCCAGCAAGTGCCACCACCATGTTGGGATTACCTATAACAGCCACATGAAATGGTCAATGGCTGCAACATTTGACTGACAAAGGCCAAACCCATCACAAATCTTCCTAAATCACCTTGCTTCTGAAGTTCTTGAACCCACTTCTTAGCCCTCGAAAATGAATCCTAATGAATTCAATAAAAAATAAGAAATCAAACCGACTAGCTAATAACAACAGCATAACATGAAAAACTTGACAACCTCGAATACTTGTAATTGAAATAAGTTAATCAAAATTGAGGACAGGAGCGAAGAAGAGTCCAAAAGAGGAAGATGGTCGAACCGTGCTAGTGATATCGTAGACAATGATAGCAGCAGCAGCACCTCTGTAGTACATTGGGGCCAAGCTGTGATACCTCTCTTGGCCGGCGGTGTCCCAGATCTCGAACTTCACTGTCGCGTCGTTCACCGCCAGCGTTTGAGAGAAGAACGCTGCTCCGATCGTCGATTCCTATCACCATCAACATCACCATCACCATCAATTAACACACAAAAATTGAAAACTTCCAAAAAATATAAAATAAAAAAGGGGGAAATTTGGCAAAAACCCTAAAAAGGCACAATTGAAGAGAAAAATGGGAAATCAGTACCTGGAATTCGAGGAATTGGCCCTTGACGAAGCGCAAGACGAGGCTGGATTTCCCAGCACCCATGTCGCCGAGCAAAACCTGAGAAAATGAAACGTCATCGGAATTCAAATACAGATTAAAACGATGAAAGTTCTGAGATTTATATACATATATAATAATATCAAGAGAGAGAGAACTCACGAGTTTTGCATTGAGATTGTTGTGTCCCATTGACGCCATTGAATCACAGAGATCGATGGAATGAGTGTTTTTTTTTTTTTTTTTTTTTTTTACATTTTTTTTGAGGGAGAAGGAGTGAGGGTGGGCTTAATAATTAATGAAAATCGCTTTACTCCTTCATCTATTAATATATATATTTTGACCCCTTCAACTATAAAAATGTATCACTTTTATTCCTACAAACCCCAATTGTGTATATCAATGACGTATTGGCCTACTCGAATTCTATTTCCCAACATAGTAAACATATATACAAATTTCATCATGTTATTAAACATAATGATTTAGTCTTAAGTGAAATTATATTCACTAAGTTTGGTTCTATTTTTTAAAAAAATAATTTTTAAAAAAATTTATTTTCTTATTTCTCGTATTTTTTTGTTTTTATTGAATTTTTTTAATATTTTATACAAATTTTTTACTTTTTAGACACATCTAACATAAATACACTTAAAAAGTAAAAAAATTGTAAAAAAAATCTTTTAAAAATTCACTAAACACCAAAAATACAAAAAAAATACAGAATTCAATATATTTTGTATTTTTATGTATTTCTTAATTTTTAAATATTGTTTCACATTTTTTTTACTTTTAGATAACATCTAATATAAGGTATATCTAAAAAAGCGTTAAAAAAAAAATGTTTTAAAATTTAAATATTCACTAAAAAATAAAAAAATACGAAAATCAAAAAACTCAATTTTTAAAAAAAGTTTAATCCAGAAAAACTCAAAGCAAACATTTATATTTTTTTAAATAATTTTTTGATAAAAATAAAAAAATTATCTAATGATATTCTATTTTCATACGAGACCTCAATCTAATTAACATGTCGTTAGGTCACTTCACTATTAAAATTCTAATCAATAATTTAAATTATTTAGAATAAAGCTGAACTCCAGGAGGTGTTGGGGATACCTGTTCATTGGCCCAAAAAATCGTTTTTTTTTGCAATTGGCAGCCGACACGTAGTACTGGGGGTCATTGGGCGTCACCCCCACTTGGGTCCCTAGCATTACTCAATTATTTAATATGAAAATCTTGTTGAATATTTTATTTATATAAAAAAATTATATTGATCAAATATTAATAACTAATTAATTAACCATAATATTTTAGATAAACTATTCCACAAGTCGTAGTAGCCAAAGGCTGCTCAATTTTACTAGGTGTTTGGCATGCAATAAAAAAATATTTTTTTTTATACACATACACTTATTTGAGTCATATCAATCAATATCTATCAACATCTCTTCTTTACTTTTCTACCTATTTTCTCTACTTTTCTACATATTTTTTTTTTATAAAAAGTTAAAAAAATACATTTATTTAAAACATCTCAAACTACTCTCTCCTCTTCTCTCACCGACCAAAGCTCGTGATTGATAGATTATAATTTCACTTTTTATTCTCTAAATTAATATTAATTATTTTATCTTATTTTAAAATTATTGATTATGTTTTAAATTTTTTTGATTTTTGTTCACATGATTCAATTGGAAACGATTATATGAATTAATAATTGTTAAATTCTAAATAAATAAATAAATAAATAAATAAATAATTATAATTTAAACCATTTAAATCATATAAACAAACCCTCCTTAAATTGATTATTGAGTGTAATTTGTTCACCAGAATAAGAACAATTAGTGTTTTATTGTAGGATTAGCATATGTCCGTGCTTGAAGGTACAGTGTAAATAATGTTAAGATTAGAATATAATTGTAATATTAATACTATTTAAATTTATTTTTTTAATTTGATAAAATCAAAAATTTATTATAAAATTTTGTAGTTCTCACAAAACTCTTCACGAAAACTCGCTTTTGCTTATATAATATAGAGCTAGATAGATAGATGTGCCTCGAATACATACAATTTCCATAAACATACATACAATATTTCTTTTGCTTATATAATTATATGGAAATTGTATGTATGCCCATAATGTGCTAGTATATTACGGGCATACATATATTGTATGGAAATATGTGTAAAATATATTGAACAAAAATAAGAAAATAAACAAATAAACAAATAGAGAGAAAAATAAAAATGGAAGAAAATAAAAAAATAAAAATAAAAATAAAAGAGAGTGCAAGGTGGGATCATGGGATCATGGAAGGATGGGTAAAAAAAGGAAAAAGTAAGAGAGAGAGAAGCGGGAAACTAGAAAATGTATTTATAGGATATTTTTTGAAGAAATATATCTCAACTATTGTTTTATAATTTGAACAAATCTGAGCCGTCCAAATGTCTTAATAGGACAAAATATGTTGAAGATTCAAAAACCGTCCTACTTTATTAAAATATGTTGAAGATTCTTATAAGGTCTAAATTTATGAAGTCTATCAAGTATTCAATATATTTAAAAATAATAATTAATTGTTCAAATTCATTTAATTCGTGGACTATAAAATTCATTAATTTAATCTCCACTATACACAGTAAAATCTAGCTCCTAATTCGGACATCATAGACTTTTCCATATAATATGAATAAAAAAAAGTGAACAAAAAGGAGAGAGTAAAGAAAATAAACAAATAGAGAGAAAAATAAAATGGGAGAAAACAAAAAAAAATAAAAAGAAAAGAGAGAGGAAGGTGGGATCATGGGATCATGGGTGAGAAAGGAAAAAGTAAGAGAGAAAAGCGAAAAAATAGAAAATGTACATGTAGTATATTTTTTGAAAAATATATTTCAGCCGTTGTTTTATAATTTGAATAAATCTAAACCGTCCAAATGTCTTAGTAGGGCAAATGTGTATAGGACAAATTCAAAAACCATACTGCTTTATTATATACATGATAGATGTTGAAGATTCTTATAAGGTCCAAATTTATGTATTCAATATATTTAAAAATAATAATTAATATTAAAATATGTTGAAAATTCTTATAAGGTCTAAATTTATGATATCTATCAGGTATCAATATATTTAAAAATAATAATTAATTGTTCAAATTCATTTAATTTGTGGACTATAAAATTCATTAATTTAATCTCCACTATATACAGTAAAATTTGGCTCCTAATTCATGCATCGTAGACTTTTCCATATAATGTGAATAAAAATAAGTGAACAAAGAAAATAACAAATAGAGAGAAAAATAAAAATGGGAGAAAACAAAAAAATAAAAAAGAAAAGAGAGAGGAATGTGGGATCACAGGATCATGGAAGGATGGGTGAGAAAAGGAAAAAGTAAGAGAGAAGCAAAAAAATAGAAAATGTACATGTAAGATATTTTTTGAAAAATATATCTCACCCGTTGTTTTATAATTTGAATAGATCTAAGCCGTCCAATTGTTTTAGTAGGACAAATTCAAAAACCATCATACTTTATTATATAGATTTTAATTATGCAAATTATTTTTCATTAAATTAGTTTTCAAAGAATATTTGATTTGTATAGTCAATTCCAATTGAACTATATTAATATAAATTATACATTTTAGGACTAAGCTTGTCTTTAAGAATGCCGTAGAAAAAATAAAAATATTTCAAAGAATAAAAGTGAAATTAAACCTTATTAATATCAAGAACCGATGACCAATTTCAAATTGGCATTCATCGGAGTGGGCTTAAGGCCCAACACCTCTCCCTTTTCTTCCTATGTCGAATTCAAATGGTATATGTCTTTATTTTTTGTTTTATTTTTTTATCCAAAAAAAAAAAAAAAAACCTCTTTTACCCAATTTGTCTAAATCTATGTAGTAATTGGCATGAAAGAATGGAATGTTAAATTTGGCCTATTTAAAAAATAAATATAAACTTCACTTAATTTTTTAAATATCTTATAGTCATGGGTTCCATTGGAATACAAAATCGTTTCAAAAGTTTCAATCTACTTTAATATAATAAAATGTAGAAATAAAATTATAAGTTTGACATAGGAGTTCTTAGTTCAAAAGATGTCAAATTATCGCATAACTTAAAAAATTAAAATTAAAATTAAAAATTAGAGAAGCCAGCAAATAGAATTTTATTATCTCCAGATTAACAAATGGGTTAGAGATGCTTGAGATATCATCAAGAAGCACTTGTATTAAAATACAATGTCCACCACATTTTCCATAGGATGGCACTACTGTCACAATCCATATTTCATGCTTAAACAACACTACTATTAGCTTGTATGAATGATACAGTTGATCAAATAGAATGAACTGTCTTGGATTACACAGCAACTGTATAAATTAACAAAGTCACTCTGTTGAAGTGAACCATGGAACAAAGAAAAACTCTTCTCTTCAAATAAATACTACTCAATCAAGGCTTTTCCAAGGACTACAAAACTATAAACAATTGTCTTTTTTTGGAAAATAAATCATTTATTAGAAAACAATAGTACTAAATCATTTGGGGAATAAAAATAAGAAATTTGAATAAGATCAGCAAAATACTTGCAATAATTGTTCTCAATTATATAGCAAGTGGACAGAGATTTCAAATCCTTGAGATCTGAAGAGGGACTGTGGCTTCAAGAACTTCATCCCTTGCAGAGATGAGCTGGATCATTCCCAAGCTGCCAAGCCTCTCCATGAGATGCCTTCGACAATTCCCTGCGGCCATAACTCCGGCTGAGTAGGCTCCGTGTACTGAACCCTGGTGCTCCATGCTAACCGCTTCACCTGCAAAGAATAGATTTCCTAATGGTGCTCGTAGCCTATCATACACATCTTCGGGCTTTCCTACCACATCATATGAATAACATCCAAATGAGTTTGGATCTGTTCCCCAACGTGATACAAGATATTGAACCTGCATGCAGGGACAAACCAAGTGCTAGTGAGGAACTTCAACTTATACAATCATGGTTACATCAATTTGGTCCCTGAATAATCAAACTCTTCCCACTTTTGGTCCAAATTCTGACAGCAGTTATACATACTTCTATGACAGAAATAAAGTATGGTCATTTCCGACTTTGAAAGAAAAAGACTTTCGCACTTTGATCCACAACCCACAAAAAAATTATCACTCAAATGAAGAAAACAATCACAATGCGTCATATCATCAACTACAATGGTTTTGAGATTAAGTTAAGTTTGGGTTTATGGACCAAAGTGGAATTTTTTAATTTTTTTAGTGACTAAAGTGAAAAAAACCAATTCTTTGATAATTGGACAAAAGTGGAAAATGAAAAATAATTTAGGAACCAAAGTGAGAATATTTTCTTTATGGACCAAAGTGGGAAACTGCATGTACTTCAGGGGGTTACAGTGTAATTTACCCTAATGATAATAATGGGTTAATGCAACTTGGATATCCAAATCAATCAACGGTTAGATTAACAATTGTTGACTAGAATGACTGCAAGTAGCAGAAATGTGGAAACCAAGTGAACTTACAGGCTCGGATGCATGGGGGAACATTTTCCTTAGCTGCAACATCACAAAATTCAAAACAGACTCATCAGATAGCTTCTCAAGGTCATAAGCAAATCTTCCAGCAGCCATATAAACTAAGACAGGATGGCCTGTTGCTTTGTGGAGATTGAGGAAATAGCCACAGGAATAAGAAGTGGGTGCGACAACGCCTAACAATTCCAGATTTGGCCAAAACACGTTATTGAAGTGCAAAGCAATCTTGTTTTCATTGCCAACACCAAGATCTGAAATTGCAGAAACCTTCCAATCAGGCAGCTTAGGCTCAAAATCAATTAGATTGCGTTTGAGGACTCCAAGGGGTACAGTTATAATGGCAGCATCTGCAATAAACTGCCTCCCATCCTCAACCGTGACCATCACCTTACTACGCCCATTGGATATTTTTATGACCCTGACAATAAAAATAACCAAAGCAATAAAAATCCATGAAATATTTAATTCCCTTATCCACATAATGTTGTAGTAACCAATAACTTTGTTCAATTAAAGAATAACCAAATCAAGCCTTGTGTCCCAATCAATTCAATTCAGCTACATGAATCCTATTCCACCATTCTGCTCTGCCAATGGCTATATGCTCAAATAAATTAAATAAATTCATATCCTTATAAGCATATGCTCACTTCAAGAAGACTTATCTTAAATTAGTACTTTTTTTTTGCACAAATACTTCAATTAATCTAGCTGTAAAAATAACCAAAGCAATTACATTTTACTTATAACCAAAGCAATAAAAATCCGTGAAATATTTAATTCCCTTATCCACATAATGTTGTAGTAACTAATAACTTTGTTCAATTCAAGAATAACCAAATAAAGCCTTGTGTCCCAATCAATTCAGTTCAGCTACATGAATTCTATTCCACCATTCTGCTCTGCCAATGGCTATATGCTCAAATAAATTAAATAAATTCAAATCCTTCTAAGCATATGCTCACTTCAAGAAGATTTTATCTTAAATTAGTACTTTTTTTTTTGCACAAATACTTCAATTAATCTAGCTATGATTTGGAAGGGAAATGACAAGCTCTGACTAATGTATGCTCCATATTTATGGGTAAGCTTTTTGTAAAACAACAGCAGCTACATGTTGGAGTTGACTAACCCCTTCAGAAAGGATTAAGAAGGTAAGACATGTTGAAGGAACTTTCAAGCAAAAGAAAATAACCTCTGCCTACGGTTCTATGTACCTTTTTTGTTATTCTTTAGTAAACTAATTCCATTTTATTTTAATCTCCTGTTATTTAGCTCAGAAATTTTCTATCACATAAGGCCATACATATTGATTGCTCACAATATCTCGCACATTCTATGTTCTCTCTTAGTATTTACTTTTTAGCATGTGCAAACAATGAAATGTGAATGCAGTCTGTCATTCAAAAATTGCGCAAGCATACCGGTGATTCAAACGTATGTCAATATCTTTTGCGAGAGCCTTAATTACAGGGAGATAACCTTGCACCATTAGTCCATGACCACCAGAAAGAACATTCTCCTGTACATCAACAAGAAATCCACTAACATGTAAGCAGTCCATGTGATGATATAACAAGATGACAACACAAATATTTAACTTCTATCTAATCAAAACCCAGTGTACCCCAGAAAATCCCAACAAATTGACTTGTTTGTATGCATTCATAAATCCTTCCCTCCAATTCCAACACATTAAAATTATATTGTAATTTGTATGAATCAATTGCATGTGTGCAAGTACGTATGGATGTCTGAATATGGAAAAAAGAGACAGATTTATATCCACTAAAATGTGGTTAATGTAAATCTTCCAGAAATAAAATTTTGTAAGGAAACTTGTCTGTCAAATTTCATCCAGTATACAAATTTCATAAATGAAATTATATAGTTCACACTTGGGTTCTCTAAGTAGCAGCAATTTAAATTTTAAATAAAAGATATTGTCACCCCATCAAACATGAAAGCCTATGGAAGCTATATAAACAACTTGAACCACCAGATCATTGATTGATTGATTGATTTCTTTTCAAACAGATGAGCAGCAAAATTAAAGACGACCAAACTTTGAAAGATCAAAAGTTTAACTTGCCTGATCCCAGCTTTTCAGAGATATCATATCTGCATCTACAGCAAACCAAGCTTCCATTCTACATATGTACCATTGTAAAACTTCATGGGCAAGTCCTTCTTGTCTATGAAACATGAAAGTTGTGTCGATGATTAATAAATACTGCAGCACTAAATACAAATGTGTGTACACCCTAAAGTCTTATTTCTTATCTCTGTTATCAGAATCTTATGATTCATGATTCGATTCACGATTCAAGATTCGATTCACGATTCAATTTGTAATTTTTGCAAAATTGATACATATCTATGGGTGAATTTATTTTGGAAGTGAATCTAGTGAATCGCACGATTCATAATCGATTCACTTTTTACGATTCATATAATTTTTGAAATTATTGTGTCCGACATATTTTCAACTCTTTTTTCTCCATCTTTTTATTGAAAATGACATAATACAACTTCTAATAGCGTTTAATACTAAAATAACCGACATATATACATGATTTATTGTTATTTTAGTGATCATGGAGTTTTTAGTGATTAATATTGTTGTTAATTATTGTTACTTGGGAAATAGATAATTTGTCTATTTGGTTATTATCTTTATTAAGAATGGTAGTCTAAAAAAGAAAAAAAGATATGATGGTGATCTTACATAGGAACCTTTGTTAACTTCTTACCTATTAAACTATATGATTATCATTCAAAATAACATTTTTATTGATTTAAATCTAAATATTTCATATTCATAAGATATATTTAACATCTAAATATATAGATATATGCTTTTAAATAATTTAAAAAAAGTAACTGAATCTTTACGATTCACGATTCGATTCGATTTGCGATTCGGTAAGAGGCTATTTCGATTCACGATATGAATCCTGATTTGACAACTATGTTTCTTATACCTTAATTCTGGATGCCTGTCCAACACAATTGAAATTGCTTGAAGAACGGACATGTCATCACTATGTTCATCCCTCACTTTCTCTGTCTATAGATATCAATATACCCAGTCAGTCATTTGCCAAGTGGCCATAGAACAGAAATTGCCCAGATTTTTCAACAGTAAAAAAGCTTACCTCCTTTAAAATTCTCTTGAATGCCTCTCCAACTTCAATTACCATCTGTTGAGGAACTTGGCGGCCATCCATATCAAAAAGTGCATAACTGAAAAAAACCAAATCCAGATCCTTAAGATCACAGTTCTAGTTAAATACATGAGGAAGTGTATTATACAAGGAAACATGGGAACTGTGGTGATCCATAAGAGAACTGACATACGTTGTTGAATAGCACAGCCACCTCACATATGGCTGATAGTCAAAATTCCAAAGGATACAATGTCCAGGCCAATTCTTTATTTTGAAATTTATACTAACCACCTCAATTATAAAGTTATACAGAAGAAATTAACCTAGATATGAAGCTGCTATCATCAGCATGTTTTATACAAACAAGGGATAGACTATACAAATGACAAGTGAGCAAAAGAAGGGGGGACCTCATGGTTAAACTAAAAACATGACTTTTACCTTTCTGAGAAAAAGTGCCTAACCTACTGCCAATCTAAGCTCAAATACATTCGAAATATAAATTGGACCTGTAATTACCTTTCCAAGTCATGATCATACAAAACAGAGTTGTCACCACTAGTACGATATAATGTAAGCCCCAAACCACGTATCAGCGGAGCCAAAGGATTCTCATTGCAAACACCATGTAACCTGAATAATGTTCAATTGAAGATTGATAAGTAAACAATCAATGTATAAACAAAGGTAATTGTTACTTGCTGAACATGCATAAAATCATCCCTCCATGCATAAATCAACATGTAAGAAAAAGATATCAATAAAATACAATTTATAGAGTTAAGGAACGAATGATTTTTAGGCAAGATCTTATCAAATGAACAGGTTGATTGGTATAGAAATAAGGTTAATTGAGAAATATAAAAATAAAAGAAAACATGCAAAAAAAATCAGAAAAAGCAAAACAAGGGAGCTTCAAAACCGTTAATTGAAGAAAATTTAACAAACTGAGTTGAAAGGCCAATTAATTTTTATGAAATGCTCATAAAATACTACTACCTCTTACAGAGGCCTTAGTACTGTAAGCGGAAGCTGGGTATGAAACCAAACCAAACCAAACCAAGCCAAGCCTTAAGTCCCATCAAATGGGGCGGAAGCTGGGTATGACCTTTTATAAAAAACCTTAGGAGTTGCTCTTAGAATTTTAGGTATAAAAATCTTAAGAAACCAAATCATAGAAGTTCAGTCGGTCTAACAAATATTTCACTTCAAAACACAAAGAAAAGAGAGTTGAGACATCCAAATCAACCAATTTTGCTTTTGACAAATAAACGAAGAGTAAATCGGGAAGCAAACGAAACAGGGCACTAAATGACATTAAAACATTCAGTGCATAGAAAATCATGTTCATTTCGACAGCAATCTAGAGAAATATCAAGTATGAAATTACCATGAGGCTCCCATATCCACAGGGCAACCAAATGAGTAATCAGTGTGAATACGTCCACCAATTCTATCCCGTGACTCCAACAAGATTACCTGAAAAAAATCATAGCAGTAAGTCCTAATCATTAGCAGATAAATTTACTTGCTTACTTGCTCTGTCCCAAAAACAAGAAGTCCACTTTGAAAATGTGCATAGTTTTAGGAAGTGGCAATAGTGCATTATTTTACATTGCACTTTGCTTGCTTATTCACCCTTTATTGTTGACTGTATAAAAGATAGGAAAATTGCAATTATTGTATTTTAACAGAGGCTTAGCAGGGCATTTAATGATATATTGACTTTTGGCCATGAATAATAATTTTGCGTCATCCAAAAAGAAATGTGGACGATTATTTTGCGACACAAGTAGTGGCTCATTACTCGGAATTGGACATATACATCTAATGTTAATAATATAACCACCTTAAAAGAAGCATTGTGGAGTATATGTGCAGCAGAAATCCCCGAAATGCCACCACCAATCACAATGACTGAAGGAGGTGAACTTTGTTTCCTCTCAATGTGCGAGGCAAATGTGCCTAGTCATCAAACAAATACTAATCAGGAAGGGCAATTGACATCCTTGTAGAAGTAAATACATTACAAGAACAAACACAAAACAACTAGTCCCAACATAGAGACCAAAACACATACATTGAGTAAATCACACATAAAAGAGTTCAGGATGTTAAGTGATGAATCCTTAGGCTAGAGCTATAGCCATCAATATGAATCAATGAATTAATATCATAGTCAATGCCTTTTGCCAATGAGAGACAACAATTTCTAAAATGAGTCTCTACTGGACTTCCCAACATCCACATAATAATCATATCAAAACAAAAATATCAGGTGGTGCCCTTGTACAACTTATCCAAGACATGTGTCACCATGTTTCATTTTGTCACTAAGAAAAACATTTATCACCACTGAAAATGCAGTATGATATTCTGCAAGTTGAGCTTGATATCTTCACAGCATTATGGCACGAGTAAAATGATGAAACAAAAAAAAAAACATCAAGGGTTACCCTTTTTTTCCTTCACATTAATGTTCACAAATTTTTTTTTCTAATTTTTTCCTTTATATTTCTACACTAATGCTATTGCTAACTAGATTTTTTTTTTTCTTTCTATTTTTTCACTTCCAAAGAAAGTTCTCCTTTTTGCCTTCCATGCCATCCAACCTCCATTATACTATTCTTCTACCCTCCAAGTTCCCATAATACCTCATCTTCCTGCCCACCCGCTACTAATTGTGTGAAACCTTTTTTTTTTTTTTTGTTGATAAATAAAACCTATTATGTTCTGCATAGTTCAAGTTTCATGTTTTATATAACACCTATTGGGCCTGTTTGATTCCAAGATAATGACGTAGGATTGGACTTTTAATCCTATCAAATTCATATTCCTACATTTGGATCACACAAATGGCATCCAGCTTAATAATGCATAAGACTCTTAATCCTACAAAATTGCAGTATATTTAATACCAAAGGAGAGTAGGTATTAACAATCATACACATAATTATCCCATGAGATTGTTAATCCCATCACTAATACTCCAAGTAATCAAACAGGCCATTGTGTCTTGTTTCCTTCTTCATCCCTCATAGTATGCAATGATAAATTACTAACAATTTTCCTATTAATTTATTTCACCTTTACACTCGCATTCACCCAAAATAACGACACCTAAGAACTTCATTTCATTTAAATCCTTGTACCTTTCACCACAATACCATCTTTTACTTTATACTATAGCACCCATGGTCGTTAGAATTGTACGATTCACGATTCGATTTATACGATTTTCAACAAAAACAATTTGAATCGTGCTGTTGAATTGGAAATTGAGTTAATTGTGCGATTCAATTTGCGATTCGTTGAGATTCACTGCGATTTAGATCTATTTTTGTTTTTACTTACATAATGCATGAAACTACATCACTTTCGCTAAACTAACCAAATATATAGAAGAGTTCAATTAGTTATATTGATATTCATGATGTTATATTTATATATACATATATAAAATTTAGTTATATTGATATTTACATAATTTTAAATACACTAAGGCTCCGTTTGTTTTGACATAAAATGTTTTTTTCAAAAATGTTTTACTCATTTTTTATTGTTTGGTTGAACAAAAAGTAAGTAAAATATTTTTTTTAAGAAAATATTTTTGCATCATTTTCCTAAAAATGAATTACCTTTAAAAATTCCGTAAGTCAATTTTTATAAAGTTGACTCTCACTCACTACTTTTTCAACACACTTAGCATTTTAAAATAAGTATCTTAGCTTACTAAAAAGTCATAAATGACAGTTTATTTAATCAAAATTTATCTTTTAGGCAATAAAATAGTTTTGTTTCAAGTGTCAACCAAACGCCAGAAAACAAAAACAATAATATTTTTTTTGTGTAAAATCAATTTACAAAAAAAATATTTTTTTGTGTAAAATATTTTACGTCGAAACAAATGGAGCCTAAGTGAAATTTTATATGTATATAGGTATATAAAATTATATATTATATTAAATAAAATGAATCTTACGATTCACTATTTTAGCAAAATGATTCGCGAGTTGACAACAGTGATAGCACCTTTTATCTTTTTTTGTGCAACCTTCTCTATTCATGTCCTTCCTTGGTATTAAATGAAAGGATCAAGAATTCCATTGCAACTCCAATGTTTTGATTTTTACCATTAGTAGTGATTGATAACAACCTTGAATATTACGAAAATTGAAAAATGAAATCTACTTAGCATGTTATACAATACCTTGGGGTCACCAACCCCTCCATGGCTTCAAACTACCAAGCCGAGGTCCGTTCCCATACTCAACACGATGGCTGACTTTGAAGCCAAATTATACAAACCGTTGGGTAGAACTCACCCTTGAAAACCAAGTTGTAAGGAGAGGGTGACCAAGATACTTAAACTAATAGTTGTCAAATCATGAATTGTAATTATAAGGTTCACTTTATTTAGCACAATATATAACTTTGTATTACACACATAGTATTTAAAATGAAATAAATATCAATATAACTCAACTATATATATATGTATGTATATATACGAATAAAATCTTATATATCAATATAATTAACTGATCTCCTTTTCTATTTTGTGAAAATGACATCATTTCATGCATTATGCAAACATAACTAAATTTTAGTGAATCTTAGTAAATCACAATTGAATTATACAATTCACTCATTTAAAATTTAAAATTCAACAAGAGGAATCAAATTGCTTTAAATTTATTTTATTATTATTTTTTTTTTGATTGGCACTGCACTGGGGTGTAGAATCGAATTGCTTTAATGTCACTCGTATCGAATTATATGAATCAAATCTTGAATCGCAAAATTCTAACCACCATGCTTATATTCACAAATCCAAGCCTAGTGTTAGGCAATGTGGGATCATAACACCATGCAACTATTGTTCTTCATCATCTTTCCACATTACCAAATAATAATAATAATGTAACTGTAATAGGAGGTTTTGACCTGAGATCAGAAGCTCCCATTGTCCACATATCCATTCTCAGTGCAAATGTATAATGTAATTTCTTAAAAATTAAACATAGACAAATAAGCCACCAATACAATGATACATGTATACATAAAGTTAAGTTATATCAATTTATAGAATGATATAAAGCTTTGGCCACTTCTTTTTATATAGATTTTGCAACAGATTTCTTGACATCAAAATTTTCCGCTTTTCAGATTATCAAGATAAACATTTTTCTTGTAATATCTAAAATTAAAAGTAAAAAAATTATTTAATTTCCCACTACCAAAGTTAATCAACGCATAAACATAATGCATCCTCATTAATACACTAGTATGTAAAATATTTTCACATGAAAAAGAGCATTTAAGAAAGAAATCATAGACTAATTAATCAAGCATAAGAAAACACACATACAAACATTCAACTCAGAAAACAATCAAATTGACATGCAATTCTAAAATTAAACTATCAAATAACCATATATATAGGCAGACTAACCGTCGAGAAAGTTATTGGAGATTGAGTCTTTGAGATCCATAAAGGAAAAAAGAAAAAAAGGAATGCAGAGCAAAGGTTTGATGATGAAGAACAAGAAGAAGAAGATGAAGAATTAGGGATGTATAGGAATCAAGAAATTGGAGATTAATTGAAAGGAATGATAAAGAATGAAGATGAGAAGGCCGGCAATGAAGCGGCTGAGATTGGAAGAGCAACGCAGCTTGTCAAACCAGCTCATAATATGAAAGTCGATTCGATTTCGATCTTATGCCGAATCGGTGGTGTGCGATCTTCAACAACAACAATCAATCTACTCCGGAGAACAATCAATGAGCTTCGCGTCGATTGCATAGATAGATAGATCGAACCCCCCTATACTCTCTCTCTCTCTATCTCCTCTTTCTCTCTCCTTTGTTTCGCCTTTTTTCTCTCTCTAAAAAAAGCCGAGAACCAGAGATCCAAATCAACCCGCCACTGCGACAACTCAACTGTCTCGATGCGAATTTTATAATAATATGGTTGGGACGACGATGATTAAAATAACACCCCGACGCCTCCTTTAAAATGACTAAAAAGGATAATGCGTTACGCTGATAAATAGATCGGTGGAACATGTATTAATTAATATATTAATATTAATTGTAATATTATTATTAATCACATTATAAATATTAAATTTTTTTAAAATTATATCACATTATTAATTGAAATATTACTTAATATATTAATTAGTACATATAATATTTAGGGATATAAGTCTCTTTTTATTTGACAATTTGATTTGAGTCGTGCTAGTTTTGAGTTTCCCTCCGCTTCATGCTTCTCGGCAACCCCGGCCCATAAACAAAATCGACTACTAAGTCTATGTTTGGAAAGATAGTTTGAGGCTAAATTAGCCACATACGGACAAAAGTGACTAATTCAGCCACATGGAGACAAAAGCATGGCAGGAGCTTGGCAACAACCATTTCACAAATAAATTTACGAAACTACCCCCACATGAAAGAGGGGCTATTTTAGCCTCACCGTCATAAATATTCAAAGTAAAAAAAAAAAAAACTTTTTTCCAAAGAACATCTTTTTCCAGAAAAAACAAAGAAAGTTGAAAAAAAAAATTAAAAACATTTTTTTTGTTTTTTGTTAAAATATTTTATAAAAATAAATTCAAACTCTATTTTATAAAAATATTTTATTTCAAGTTATGTGTTTGGTTATGAGTTTTAAAAATAATTTATTAATTGAGTTTTATTTTATGTGTTTGGTTACGATTTGAGTGTAGAGTTGTTTTTAAATTTAAAATATTAACATTTTAAATTATTTTAAATTTTTGAATATTTAAATTATTTAAATTTTTTTGTTAAAATAATTTTTTGAATATTTAAATTATTAAAATTTTTACGCTTTAAATTTTTTGAATATTTATTTTAAATTTTTGCTTATGAAATTTTTTAGATTATTTACATTATTTAAATATTTAAAATAAAATTACAATTAAAATAAAAATAAAAATTAAATTAAAATAACAATAAAAATTAAATATTTAAAATTAAATTAAAATTAAATTAAATTATTTAAATTACACAGGACAATAAAATAAAACCTCACTTTTGATCATTTCACAGAAAATGAAAATAAAAAAAAAAAACACATGAACAAACCATTTGCAAAAAAAAAACTTAAAATACATAAATTATTTTAAATAAAATACGCCTCATTCAAAAATATTTAGTACGAATTAAAAAATTACAAAAACGTAAATTGAAAAAAAAAAACGAACGACAAAAATACACCTCATCCAAAAAGATTAAAAAGAAAAAACAGAAATTACCATTTGCCATGTAATTTACAAATAAATAAAACACATGAAAACCCATTTTTGAAATATAAAAACAAATTAATGTGTACGAATTAAAAAATGACAAAAACGCAAATTAAAAAAAATAACGAGAAAAATACGCCTCATTAAAAAATATTTTTAAAAAAAACATAAAAACGTAAATTACCATTCGCGACGTAATTTAAAAATAAATAAAACACATGAAAACTCATTTTTGAAAAATAAAAAAAAAAGTTATTGTATACCAATAAAAATAAAAAAGATAAAAAATTACGCCAAATCCAAACCCAAAATAAAAAAAAAAATTAAAAATTTAAGCAAAATACGCGAAATCCAAATCCAAAATAAAAAAATAAAAAAATAAATTAAGCAAAATACGTCAAATCTAAACCCAAAATAATAATAAAAAATTAAAGGAAAATACGCCAAATCCAAACTGAAAAAAAAAAAAACAAAAAAATTCAAACAATTTCGGTCCTGTACATGGTGCTGACGTGGAGGACCATTTGAGTGTGAGTTGCCATGAGAATCATGTGTCAAGGGCAGTTTGGTAATTTATCATAAAGACACCTCACCAAAAAGTCAAAAAGTCCAAAAAATTAAAAAACCCTTCCCAAACCAGCCTTTTTAGCCCCAGGCTAAAATAGTCAAAAAAGCCAACCCACTTCCCAAACGGAGGCTAACTTTTTATTTTTATTAAAATAAAAAATTAAATACAATTTTGATACGTTTTTTTTTTTTTTTACAAAATTTTTTTTAAAATATTTTATTTTTTGAATTTTTAAAAAAAAAATCATACGAATTTTTTTTTTTTTTTAAATATGGTATCTTTTAATATAAAAAAAAATTGTCTATTACAATAGGTGAACATGTAATTATTCACAGAAGACTTGATTAGCAAAATTCATTCTTAAATTATTAGGTACACTTTTAATATGATGGTGATAGGAGTATTGGTGGTCAAGCTACTAATTTGTTTGAGAGTTATTTTATTTAAATCAATTAATTATAAGATAACACGTGCCAGTTATGACTTAATCACATGAATGTCACGTGTCAATGCACGAAATGATTCAAAGAAAAAAATTTAACAATGATAGAGACCATTAATTTTAGAGCTCTAAAAAGACCACTAATGACATGATACTCAATAAAAAAAGAAAAAAAAATACAACACCAAAGTCAAAATATCAAATCATTCTTGGTAAAGTCCACTGTCATATCATTAATGATAGCACTAATTAGTGCTCTCACTTATTTTCCAAAAAAATTAAAGGATCAATCACTTTTTGAAAGATATACGAAAAGGCTGAATTATTTATTCTCAAAATTTAAATTCAAAACCAAGGAGGGAAGGGACGCATGAACATAGCTAGCCTAGTGGACATCAACAATGATTCATCCCACTAAAAACATCACCACTAATAGCACTAATGCATTAAAAAAGTAAAAAAAAAAAAAAAACACAACTCTAAGACCAAAACATCACATCATTAATGGCAGGACCGACTGCCACCTAATTAGTGGGAGCACTAATTAGTGCTCCCAAGCATTTTTCTAGTGGACATATGGTACAACTTTGACATTTGGTGTGAATCATAAGAAAGCCCATAAATAAGTCAAGGATGGAATGAGGAGCCCTTGAGCAAATCCATACGTTTAATTCTAGCCACTAAGATCATAAAGCCCATAAATAAGTCAAGGATGGAATGAGGAGCCCTTGAGCAAATCCATACGTTTAATTCTAGCCACTAAGATCATCTCCAACATTGCATCAAATTGAGCATCAAATTTGAATTTGATAAAAAAAGTTACTTTTTTTCTTTCTAATAGTTTCACCAAATTGATATTAAATTGAAGATTAAACAAAAGTTTTACTAAATTGAAGACTTGCGTGAAATTTCACCATTTCACTGTGCGTTTATGTTGGAGATGATCCCACCGGTCAACCGGCAGAACGTCTGGCTGGTTGGCCAACCGATCGTCCGATACATATAAAAAATGCTCTTACTGTTTGGCCTGTGAACTACATCTCTTAAGAAATATTATATTTGTATGTCAACATGCTCTCAGTGTTTGACCCACTTATTCATCACTCAAACATGACATGTGAACTACATCTCTTAAGAAATATTAGATTTGCTCCATTGACATTGATGTTGCTATGATAATTGTTTTTTCTGTCCACAAAAAAAATTTCTGTGAGAACTGTCAAAAGAAGCAGCACCATTGTTGGCACATTCTCAAGTACATGTAATCTATGGAAATAATTTAATGGAGGAAAAAAGAAATAAGAAGCAAATTGGGAAACAGAAATAGAGGGGAAAAAAAATTCAGTAGTTTTGTCCGGTCGATCGGCCGGTCGTCCTGCCAAACGTCTTGTGTCTTTTGGTGACAACTACAGTAACCGTTGGAACGACAGGTATCAGACTAAGAAAGTTGCATTTTTTTACTCAAATTTAATGAAAAAATTGATGAATCGTTAGAGATGCTCTAACTAGTTATAATTAAGTAAACGGTGGTGTTACATATATCAATTAATATACTAATTACTGTACCAAATATGTTATGATATTATTATTAACCCTACTTATTATACAAATCATAAATATCAAAAATCTTTTAAATTATATCACACGATCAATTGTTATATTAATTAATGTATATAATATTATTCTCAAGTGAAGTGTCCACATGTGGACAATTCATCCTTCCAAATGCAGGTGATGCATGTCACAAAGGATCCTCTAGAGTGAAATTTTCCTAAAGTTTCCTAGAGTACTACATTGTGTGGTTGAGATTTACTGGCAAGTCACATCAGAAAAATTGATGTGACTTGCCAGTAAATCTCAACCACATAATGTAGCACTCTAGAAAATTTTAGGGAAAAATCACTCTAGAGGATCCTTGCTGGATGCATGTGGACAGCAAAATGAATTTGATGAATTGTCTGATTTCTGTCCACCTAAGCTGGCTCATGCAATGCCACCCAAACGAGAAAGATATTCATGGTACAAAATTTCAATGACACATTTACACACTGGCTTTTTCCTTCAACTTTCCATTGTCAAATGTCCTTTCATGTTTTCTTAGGGATTTAAGAAAAATATTAAAAATGGTCTCCAAGGCTGTCGTTAATATTAAAAATATATGAAAAGTAAAATGTATTGAAATGAATAAAAAATATTTTAAAATGTGTTAAATACGTATTAAGATTACAAATATTTTGATATTTTGTGGTGTTTATTGACAGTCTTTAGAGTTGTCAATAGTAATGTCCTTAATTTAATAGAGTTTACTACAATTTTAGAAGGAAAAAAAAAATCAAAACAATTGCATACATCTAAATCTACTATTAGGGTGCAATTCAAGTGGATTGAGAAATTGTTATCTTTAGAGTTATCATTCGTAAGTCCCTTAATTGAAAAAAGTTTACTATATAAGTTTAGAAAAAAAAATAAAAACAATTGCATATATCTAAATCTACTATTAGTAAGCAACTTGGGTGTATTGACGTAACTCCAAGCTTGATTCGAATTGCCTACATTTTATATTTTTTTTTATTTTCTTCAATTAATTTAGTTAATTTGTTAAAATTATACCCTACTAACATTTTAGTGGCACCGTTATATTATTTACTTCAATCTCATTGTGTTGTGAGCAATTTTTAAAAAATTGAGATAGATTAAGAATTTTT